ATATTTTCAACCATACAGAAGTAAAAAAATGTTATGTCATTGTTTTCCTTTATGGTTCTGAGATTTGTGTAATGCTTGAGAAGTTCTTTTCCTTACCCAAACAATAAAATTACTCTCATTTCACCTTCTGGTACCTTTATAGTTGCGTTAAAATATTTAGAACATTGGGGCCGGCCTGGTGGTGCACTGGATAGTGCGCCGCTTGGGAAGCGCGGCGCCGCTTGGGAAGCGCGGCGGCGCTCCCGCCCGAGGGTTCGGATCCCACATACGGACCGGTTCCCGCTCACTGGCTGAGCGAGGCGCGGGAGCAACACTGAGGGTTGCGATCCATTGCCGGACACGGAAAAAGAGAAAAAGACAAAAAAAAAAAAAAAAAAAAAAAAATTAAAAAATTAAACCCTTTGGAATTTTTTTTTATATGTTTTGTGAAGGAGTAATCTAACCTAATTTATTAGCCCCATTGCTTATTTAGTTGTCCCAGTACTGTTTATTAAATCATCGGGCTCTTCCTTTCTGATTTGAAATGCCCTTTTTTAATATGAGAAATTCTCACACATCCATGGGTTTGTTTCTGTCCTCTCCTTTTACAGGAGTCCTTTCGTAATTTATTAGCTATGTGAGTTTGTTTAAAATGCTCGCCCACTTGGGTTCCATATATTTAAAATGGGGATAATATCATAGTGACTATTTCACCTTATAGAGCTGTTGTGAGAAGTAAATCACAATGTATTAGGGCCTGACCCCGTTGTAAGCTCTCAGTGAATCATATCATTATTCTTATTGTTTATTTGGGGGCCAGTGCCAGTGATTCTTAATTAATGTAGTAGGTAGTCCCTGTTATTACTTTTCTTTCTGAAAATTTCAAAAATTTCTTGGTCAAGCTCACACCTTTATTTTTCTATTTGAATTGAATTTCAATTCATCTAGCTCTGAGAAAAACAAATAAAAGAAAAACCAGAACTGAGATTCTAATTATAACTGCATTAGACTTATTTATTAAGTGGAGAGGTTTGACATCTTACAAAATTGAATTTTCTCATCTACAATGTAACTCCCTTTATTTAGGTTTTGTTTTATGCTCTTCAATACAATTTTAATGATGTTGAGACTTTAGTACTGATTTTTCTAGCTTTCCCTGTGTTATGGTTAAGACTGGCCATCTTTCATCGGAACAGGCAGAGGCAGCTTCAGAGTTTCATTAAACATCTTGAGATATATTCTCTTTTTAAATCATTCAAATAGCCCAGTGAGGTAAGATTGGGCATTTCAATCTTACAGGTGAGGAATTTAAAAGGAAGGAAGAATGGAAATAGTTTAAAACACCTATGTATCAGGCAGGTATTTTTTACTTAATCTTAAGTAGGTCTATTATCCCCATTTAACAAGTGAGGAAACAGGTGCTGAGAGAAGTTAAATTGATGCAGCTAAAGCACATAATAAACTAAGAGAAAGGGTTCAAACCTAGGGCTTAGGACTCCAAATTAGGTGTTCTAGTGGCCAGCTGCCATTACTTCCCTCTGGTGCTTTCTCATCTTCTCTGCACTTGTCAGTTGTCTCAATAAAGTTGACCCCAGACCAATCGGTCTGCTTCCTGGGGCAGGCTGCCATTCCCAAGTCTAGTTTCTGGACCTATCAGAATGGCCCAGTACCATGCAGCCCTTCTCAAGAGCCAGTCACAGCAGCTTGGTCTGTTCTGTTGCTGTTGAACATGGTCTGGATGCCCAGGTTACAGAGAGTATCTGAGAGGAAGTCCAGGGTAGGAGGAAGATTGATGGAGGCCAAAAATTCTCTCATATTCCTGAGCCTTGCTGTTTTGTTATCTGACTTCAAGAGTTGAGGAACCCCAAAGCCAGGTTAGGAATTCAGGTTTGTTATTACTTGTAAGGGAGCTACATAAAGAATGAGAATCAGAGTGACCAGAAAGAGGTGTCTGATGTGGAACTCCCTCCTGTTGGGCATCCTCAGCCAGGAAAGAGCCTCTCTTCCAGCAGCAGCCTCTGCCATTACTAGGGTTGTCAGATGCTCTGTTGTTCCTGGGTTTGTACTATTACTTGTAAGGGAGCTACATAAAGAATGAGAATCAGAGTGACCAGAAAGAGGTGTCTGACGTGGAACTCCCTCCTGTTGGGCATCCTCAGCCAGGAAAGAGCCTCTCTTCCAGCAGCAGCCTCTGCCATTACTAGGGTTGTCAGATGCTGTGTTGTTCCTGGGTTTGTATATTGATCTTTCTTTAACACTTTAAACAGATTGATCTGTTGAAATGGGGAGAGTTCATGATGAGCTCAAACTGTGGAAAAATCAAAAAGGCCTCCCAATATGACTAATGGCTTTCATGATATTGGAGATGTGGGTTAGTATCATCAACCCCAGTAGTCATAAATGGAATGTAAAGATTAGATAGATGGCACAATCCCAACTGGAACAACTTCCCAGGCATCAGGCCAGCTGGTGCAGTGCAGTGTATGGCCTGTGAGGCTGCAGCTGTGAAGGACATGGTTCTGGGGATTCTAGCCAAGACAAGGCTCCTGGTGTTAGACATCATGAGTGGGTTCCTCTTATCTGATTGATTACTAATTTGATAAATTAGGAGTGTTTCTGGTTTACCATCTGAAAAAACTGCTTGAAGTTTCTTTAGAGCAAAACGAAAATGGTTTTTTGATTTGTTTGCTTTTTGTCTTACTAGCTAGTATACAACTGAGCACTATAGTGGCGTGGGCTCAATTTCTGTGATGCTTTCTTTTGAGTTGTCTGTTGCCTAATCGAAAATAGTTTAAATTCCACAGATTCTGAGGAGTGGACTAGAAGAAATAGTAACACAGACCTTCCAAAAACATTCGATATTTCAAAAGTCGTATTCTTCCTGATTTTGAAATGCTATGCGTAATTTTTGTGTTGCGGATTTTTCTTTCAAAACACATTTTTCTTCGAAAGCTCCATGAATGCGTTTCAACTTCAATCCTTGTTCCTGAGTGGGGGATAAACGAGCTTTTCCTAAGCACTGCCCTCATCCATCAAAAGAGATGGGCAGGGCTCATCTGACTGACTTCTCAGAGAGGGCATCCACTCAGTTATCTGTGGCCTAATAGCTGCACAGTCATTCTCTGGCCTCCAAAAAAAAAAATTATAAAAAATAAACAAAGATTTTATAATATTTAAAATATTACAAAAGATTTTATAATATTTAAAATATTACAAAATATTTTATAATATTTAAAATATTACAAAATATTTTATAATATTGTGGGTAGTATTATAATCTGTTGGTCTTCTCAGAGCATCCAGAAACTGGCAACTGAAATTTATTCAAAGGGAAGTGGAAAGAAGATTAAACTGAACTATGGATGAATACATAGATACTTAAGATTTAAGGAGAATATATTTCCATTTGATCTGTTTGCTGCTTGTTTATACATTTTAGGGTTATTCATACTTACATGTGAATAAGTTGTATAGCCAAATCAGCAAACTAGTTATTGTCAAGTTAGATTGGTTAATCCTAATATTAATTAGAGATGTTTGTCTGTTCATGTTGTACAGTATAGAGTTTGATGTGATTGTGAGCAGAGAGACACAGGTGACTGCTTGGGGATCTATTTTTGTCTCCAAGATTCAGGGATTTGTCTGTTCTCTATCTCATAAAATAAAATAGTAGATGTAAAATGCTGAGCACTGTGCCTGGTATGTAGGAATCTCTCTAATACTTAACAACATGGAGAAATAATTACTGTATTTTAATTTGAAAATGGTTATAAAATAGTATGTAAAATATTATCCCAGTTATGATAAATTCAACAAGTAGTTATTAAGTTCTTATATGGCAGAAGCTGTTTTAGGAACTGGAATATAAGAACTTGGTAGGGAAGATCTTACTATTGTTTTGTGTCTTATTTAATTTTATATCACAGAATAGATTGGTGCTTTTTGCTGTGATGTCCTCTGCAGATAGAAAACCTTTGTTTATTTTTTATAATTATTTTTTCGGAGGCCAGAGAATGACCGTGCAGGTATTTGACCATAGATACCTGAGTGGGTGCTCTCTCTGAGAAGTCATTCGGATGAGCCCTGCCCATCTCCTTTTAGGGCAGTGCTTAGGAAAAGCTTGTTTATCTCCTACCTTAGTTCAGGAACAAGGATTGAAGTTGAAACACATTCATGGAGTTTTCTAAGGCACTAATGTGATCACAACCTAAATCACTTGGAATCCTCCCTTTCTGGGGAGACTTTGTAGGGGGAATCATTGTGGTGATCATTTCCGTCTTCAATGTCTTTTCATTTGCCATTGTATTGGACCTTTTGGATTTTTATTTTGGGGAGAGGGACTTAGAAATATAGTTTCTGGCCCTTGCTTGATTGAGCATGTGAGACAAATTGAGGGATTTCCAAACTGGGTCATCATTGTGGTGATCATTTCCGTCTTCAATGTCTTTTCATTTGCCATTGTATTGGACCTTTTGTATTTTTATTTTGGGGAGAGGGACTTAGAAATATAGTTTCTGGCCCTTGCTTGATTGAGCATGTGAGACAAATTGAGGGATTTCCAAACTGGGTCACTGACACTGGTGCCCTTCAGCAATGGGTGGAATTTGGAATTTGAGTTTGCATGGTCTGTCTGCTGGCCATGGTTGGCAGTGCCTATCTTGGCCCCTACTCTTTACTGTTCATTACGTTGGCTAAGGTAAGTCTTTAGGTCTCTGTACCTAAATTTCTTCTATAAGGTCAGGTGGGATTTTCAACCTATTTCCTAATTGTTTTACAAGAGTTAAGAGATCTGCACTTAACAAAATTATTTGAATAGAAGAAAACAGCCACTGAGTAGTCACTGTGAAAATTTTTATTCCAGCAAGAAGTGCAATTAATGATGTTATATCCTGGCACCTGAAGGAATAAGACCATTTAAAAAATGAATTAATATTTGCACCTATTCATTTCCAAGTCTTTGCTTCTATAGCCCCTCATATGAGAATGCAAATTACTGACCAATCTTTTGATATTCCTTTCAGGGACACCTGTGTGGTTCTTTGTGAAAATTGCTCCAATTCGAAACGAACAAGATAAAGTGGTTTTATTTCTTTGCACTTTCAGTGACATAACAGCTTTCAAACAGCCAATTGAGGATGATTCATGTAAAGGTTTGTAATTCTGATTTGTACAAATACATTTGTACCTTTTTTGCCTTTAGTGGCTTTTGCTACAGAGAAGTTGAGGTTGCTAAGGCAATCTCTGCACAAATATTAAGGTTAAAACTTTAATTTGTGTTGGGTAAAGTACTGTGTCATTCTGGAATGCACTGAGGGAAGAGAGAGGGAGAAAAAAACTTTGTTTAGGAAAACATTTGAATCAATTTTATACCTTTTTAAATTAACCCTTTCCAGTAGTGGTTAGACAGAAGAAGGTAGTTGGGCAACTTTGGTATCATCAGAATCTTTTCAGGTTTTCATACGACAAATGTCAGTCACCCAAGTGGTACAGTCCATGGCCACATTCATCTGATTTATATGTAAATTTCCTTAAATTTCATTGAGTTCCAGCACTTCAAGATTGCGGAAGCCAATACTAGCACATCTTTACCTCTGTGGTTGATTGAATTAATAAGGCTGTGGCCAGTTAATTCATTTGATTCATCTGATTTATATGTAAATTTCCTTAAATTTCATTGAGTTCCAGCACTTCAAGATTGCTGAAGCCAATACTAGCACATCTTTACCTCTGTGGTTGATTGAATTAATAAGGCTGTGGCCAGTTAGAACTTGGCATTAAGGAGGCCAGTGTCTTGAGTAACATTTTCATATGGATCATTTAATCAGTCCTGTGACCACAGATTTTAGCACTCACCTCAGACATATCATATGCATATGTTGTTTGAATAACATTGGGGACTAGAAAAGGAGGTGGCTCAGGATTTCTGGAACAACTGTACTCCTGAAGAGGTCCAGCTGATCAGAATATACAAAAGATGGCATGTTATTCCCAGAGGTTTGGGATTAGGGGGTGTCATGCCCCTCTTCCATAGCTTGCACTCAAGATAACCAAGAGGCTAGGAGGTATTTTATGTTGCAGTGCCACCTGGCTCTGTGGTTGATTTTCCTGCACTACCCAAGAACTCTGCTCCTTGTGGTTTCCTGAGATGTAGCAGAGAGATGAGAGTGGAGTCCAGGAAAAAGTCAAATTGGGGCATATTATTCTTGATGCGACAAAATTCTGATTGTTAAATGGTTATTACAGGAGGAAATAAAAAGCATTATGTGGATGATCTCTCAGGGGCTATGTCCTCTGAGAGTGTTTAAAGTCCTGGCACATTTAGACACTCACATTTATGGAGTTCGTAGCACAGTGCTGTGTATACCAGTACATCCTATTTTTTAAAACTGTCTGATAGTTCAATAAATCAATTTGAGCTGCCTTTTGGTTTCAAGACCTCAGCAGATGCAGTCTCTTAACTGGTGCCTCAGCCTCCTGAAATTTCCCTTTTTCTGTAGATTCATAGTTATTGCCTGATTTCTAACTTATGATTTGAAGGTTTCTCAGTGCAGTAGGGATTATGTGGCAATAGCATAGTCATGATTAAGTGTCGTCCTGTTACCATATAGAAAAGCTGTTTGCTTTTTTAATAAACTCATAAATAATATTTTAAAGACAATTAGATATTTTTACCCTGAGTCTTGCAAATTTTCTCTTAAAAAATGAAGATATGTGATTTGGTTGAGTCCAAATGTTTTCTTTTCATCACCACTGGGACATTTTTAGGTGATGTGCAGGTATTATTTAGTAGGAAAAGCATACCTAATAGAGAATGCTGTTGAATTGCCACTTAGGTAACTGCATTTTATGAAAATGAAACCTGAAAGAAGATATAAATCAGAGTGATATAGTGAGACTCACTTAGTTTCATTTTCCAGGAATAAAATGCTCCACTTAATTTACCCTGCCTTGATGATGCATGTCCTTACTGCTAAGAGTTTACACACACACACACACACACACACACACACACACACACACACACACACACACACTTACCCCATTACCTATTAGCTGAGGGAACCAGGTATTAATTCTCTTTGTCAGTGAAATAAATAGGAGTAACGTGGCTTGATTTGTAAAAATTTAAAACATATACTTTAGCCTTCCATATAGGAGTCCTGCTAGTGGATTACACTTAATGTCTCAGTAAAGACATGACTTTATAAGCTTGTCCATTTCAAATGCCATGGCAGATATGTTCAGACCTTCCCACTTGTCATGTCACTGTGCCCCTGGCCAACTTTGGTTTGGTGGTTTGCTTAGGACAAAGTTAAATTTTATATTAGTCTGTTTATGATGGAAGAGCATGATAATTTGCTAGGCCTTGTTAGTTGTAAGTCTATAAACTACAGTTCTGGCTGCAAGTATCAAATCTAGATGGAAAATACACTGCTATGTGGCTAGATTGTTCTTCTGACTTGACATTTCTTCTTGGATGTGCTCTCAGCAGTTCGTTTCTAGCAGACCAGCTGGGTTTTCAGTAGAGCACCCCAGTGGCATTAAGGGTCTTAAAAGTCTTGCTGACCCAGGCTTGTTTAGAATTCACTTCTGAAAGGGAATGGAAGGGTGTATACTTTAAAACCCCAGATAATTCCCGGATAATTGCCCTTTGGCATAGGATGTTTTCCCACCATCAGATAAGTCTTTTAAATCAATTGCTCAAATTGTCTTTAAAATGACATTGTTTTCTCTGATCAGGTAGAGCCTAACTCCAGGACTTGGGTTGGGGTGGATGCGTCTTGATAGTGTTGTGAGAAGCCAGTTTGTGCTTAACATTTTCTCACAACCATCCACAAACGAGTAAACTCGGGATAATTGACAGTAGACTATCTTAGCATCTGACACAAAATAATGCCCCTCTTCGCAGAGCCTCAGGCACAGATGATGGTCCCTGAGAATGCTTCCTGAGCCCCCTCTTTCATTTAGTAAATCAGTTCTCACAGTCCTTTTTATGAGCTATCCAGGCCCCTGACTTCCTTATCTTTGCTTTGCTGTCCGCCTTTTGACTAATTACCTTACTCTCTGAGAAATAGTGCCTACAGATGGCATGGGGCAGGGAATAAAAGTCAAGCTAGGTTTGCTGTTTGGTAGCAGCTCTATGTATATGTGTGTTTAAAGGCTGAATGAAAGAGTAGGTGGGAATTCTTGGCTAAAATGAGAATCCATGATGCTCCAGGGGTTTCCTTTCCTTTGTTCCTTATCTCTTGCTTTTCTGTTATTATGGATAATTAGGAGTACGCTGAAGGATATATTTTCTTCCCATTCTCTCTTCTGAGCCAGGAGGCTTGGGCAAGTGGGCAGAGAAGAATTAGAGTGTAAGGCTAAGAGTTTTCTCTCTCTCCATTGCTCACCAAAGGATGAGTCACCCCTCTTGTTTTCTCTCTTACCCTACTACATAATCTCCAGTTAAAGGATCAAATTCATTTTCAAAGATCCACACATTTACTTCTAAATTCAGAGTTAAACTTGAACCAGATGCAGACGACAAAAGGAATGTAAAACCCCAAAGGAGATTTTTAAAGGACAAAGAATATTTTAGGATGAGGGCTCTGACAAGCTGTTGTAATTGCTGACCCTTCTGCACATTTCTTCATATGGGATATTTAGGAGGCACTCTTGGGAAAGACACAGAATAATTGATACAAGCCACAGGCACCACCACCTCCAATATTAACACTTTTTTCTCTCTTCTCTTAGGATGATGGAAAGGTAATGATTTAGTGACTGCTACTTGAAGAAGACATCCTAGATTTTGGATATTTGCACATTGACATGGGAAAGACTGTGGGAGGGAGACTTTTGGGCACCATCAATATGGTCCCCTGTGTCCAGTATTCTCTGCTGGATGTTGGCTTTTGGCACCAGCTCCTTTAAGAGAATATGTGACTCTGTATCTCAGGACAAGGCTGTCCTCTGTCATTTCTGGTATTCCCAGACTTACACTCAGAGGAGCTAGAATTCTAACTTATCCCAGAACCACCTCTTCCGGCCTAGAGAGGATACAGGAATTGTGGGCTAAAGCAGCCTAGTGGGTGGCTCACCCAAGTTGAGACCCAGCAGCCATTGTGGGGTCAAGGCAGGGGGAAGCAGTTATCCTTCCTAAGGAGGGAGGAAGGACCCAGTAAATACCTTTTAGCTAATTGCTAGTTTGAGTACTGTGTTCCCTTATGCCCTTCTTTTCCTTTCATTCTTTTTCTTCCCCTCCTGTCCATCCCTTCTCAGTTTTCCTGATCATGTGATGTTTTCAATCTTCCCATAGCACCCACTCCCTACCTATGATGATACCTACCTTTCTGGCGACATTCGTGACAAGCCTAGGCCAGAGGTTTCTTCATTTGAGCTCAGTTCAGTGTTGAACTTTCAGATAGGATTTAATTGGAGGGGTGACTTCAGAGATGCCTAGCAAAAGAGGGAGGCACAGAAATACCTTCTGAAACTTAACAGTTTGTGAAAGGGGCTGTTTATACTTTGGGACTTCTATTTGGAAGTCCAGACAGAGGTAGGGCAATGATAGGAAAAAAAATATTTGTCCTTCATCCACATTTATTTAACACACACACTTATTCAGTGTCTTTTGGGTGTCTGGTCTTATGCTAGGTTCTGGACATAGGAAATATCTGAGATAGAACCTCTGTTTATTAAGGTCTACTTCAGGGATGGGCAGACAGATAAGCAAATAAGAACAATAAAACATCATCAGTGATCAAATAGAAGTCTGCTTAAGGCAAGTGGGGATACACAGAGGGAGCGGGCGATTCTGCTGGGGGTAGGGAAATAACTGGGAAAAGCTTCCTTGAAGGAGGAAGGTTTGTCATCTGCCTTATTTTCCTTGGGGAAAATGACCACCTGGCTTCTCCTGAGCAAGACCATCTTGAGTTAAGTTCTCATTGACATGTCCCCTCCCAATTGACCCTTTGGACAATAGGAAATTGACTTTCTCTAGAAATGATTCCCCTGATGGCTCTAAGGGGTATCCTTGGTCCAAATTATCTTCCACCAAACCTGATTGTTTCTCTTCTTGTGTTTTAATTCCAAACCAGAAATTCAGAGATTGCCTCTTCTCTTTCTTTACAGTTATTTTTCACCAAGCTTTATTGATTCTTCCTCTGTGGCTGCTCTCAAGTCTCCTCTCATCTTCTGGCCCAGGCCATAGCATTGGTCCAGGCCTATATGGTCTTTTGCCTGGGATTCTGACTTGTCTCTGTCTAGCAACACTTTTTGTAGTCCACTATTCACACCACTGTTCTGTACTTCTAAAATGCAAATCAGTGAAAGTGTTCCCCTCCCAACCATATTTAAATTTCTTCAGTGGTTCCCCATGGGTTTCAGGATGAATTTCAAATTTGTTAATTTACCATCCAGGTTCTTACTGTCTAATTTCTTCCCTGTCTGGCCCCTGACAACCTCTTCAGCATCACTTCAGGCCACTCTCTGCATCCCCCTCCCCTGCCAGAAGGCATGCCCCTTCATCCAGCCATTTAGAGCATCTTGTTCTTCACTGACATATTACCCTGTTTTATGATTTTCTGCTTTTGTAGGCACTGGTCCTTTGGTGTGGAATGTCCTTTTTTACCTTCTTAAGTCCATCTAACTCCTACTCATCTTTTAAAATTTTGTTCTAGCACTTAGCACTGTGCATGGGTATGAAGTAGTAATGTTTATAAAAGTAATACATGGATGAATGCATCTATTTTTCCATCTGGCTAGATGTGATTACTATTATAAAATGTCTGTAGTACAGAAGGAAAACATGGAGTTGAGAACTTGGGAGAGAACTTATTTTTTCCTTCAGAACAGACAAAGCCTGCCCATCCTGGGTAGAAGTGTGATGGGGAAATTTCATACTGTCCATCCATTTCCCAACCAATGCCTACTTACCTTCCCATGCCCTCCACTCAGCTAGCTAAGAGCTAGCTCCTTTAAGAGCCACATTCTTGGAGAGAGAATCAGGTCTAGGCCAGAGAGTAAGGGGCTAGCCTAAGCCCAGGGAAAGGCCCAGAGGTCCAGGGATCTTTCCCCCCTGCCCCCATCCTTTTATGCTGTATCAGCTGATGTAGCAGGGTCCTGAGTTCCCTGCCCGGAGGGCTTTGGGTCATCTGCCCTTTCATCATAGTTCCTGTAGTGTGAGTCATGGTGGTGGGAGTGGTGATGGGTTTAGGGTGGGTACAGAGCCCTTGTTGGTGTTGGCATGCACAACTGTTTTTTACCTGACTGAAACATGTACTTTTTGCTCTTCTTGAAAAGCTTTGCAAAATTCAATTCCTGCTTTGCTTTGAGCTGAAGGAGAGCCTGACCCTGAAAGACATTTTAAAAAATTCTAGTCCTAGTTCCTAAAAGCACATTCTAGTGATCACATTCATAAATGCCACATTTGGGGGAGATGTCAAAGTTCCCTGTAGAGTCTGGGAATGGGACCCCCGCAGCCCAATCACTACACACCTCTTTTTAAGCTGACTCCAGCAGTCCCACGTCTCTCCTTCATGGAATCAGGGTGGATGAAAGTGCTAATAGGTTTTATTAAAGCACAGCACTTCTGGAATGAGATTAAAAAGCTGATTTGCTCTTCTTGCTATGTTGACAAAAATTTGTCTATGCACATAATTCTTAAGGTTGTGGGGGAAAAAAAGGCCGTTCTTCTTCTTAACCCCATTGTCCTCTGGATTCTAAGGCTGCCTTGGAAAGGTGCTCCAGGGATTTGGCAGATGAGATTTCTGCTGGAAAGTGCTGAATGCTTCCAAATTTTAAAGGGTAAAAATTAAAATTGCCTAGTTCTGCTTTTAACCATCATGTAAAGATAGTTGCATGCTCTGTTTACTTGCTGTGTACCCTAAGTCCAGGATTTTGGAGCTCCTGAAACCCAAGGCTGGTCTTGAGAACTTTGACAGGCTTTCAGAGGCCTCACGGGGCAACTGCCATGGTCATAACCTTGATGCAGATGGGCTGTTGGATTGAAATGGATGGTTGTCTTTGGGGGCATTTAAAAGCAGTGAACACTCAGACATCTTAGAGTCTCAGTAAAGATAACTCTTAGATCAGGTCTTAGATTCTGTGGTATGGAGTGGACTTGATAGGAAAAACTCTAGTGTTTTAATTTTCCTGGAGGAACTAGTCCAGAGGACCAAGGAGGCTTCAAGCCAGCCTCTTTTAGCCCTCTAAACAGAGCCCACTAAACTTAGCCATTTTGCTTTGCCGGACAAATGTATCCTGCTGTTAGGTAGGTAGAGTATTTTTATTTCCACTTTACAGATGAGACAGTCGAAGCCCAGATAGCTTAAACAACTTGTTGGTGATCACAGAGCAAGCTGGAGGCAGAGATGGGACATGTATACAGATTTCTTTACTCCAAGTTCAGTACCAAGTGCTTTGAGGTTCTTGTTTTAAGACGACTTGTCACCAAACATCCTCCCACCTCCCAAAGCATACAAAAATCTGCCAGTGCTTTTCCCCACCTATCCAGGGGTTAAATTCATTTCTTGTTCCCCTGGACTGGGAGAAGGTAATGCATGGAATGGCCATTTGATTAGTTTGTTTATTGAAAACCCAGAACAATCTCAATTTCTGCGAGATCAGACAGCGTGGGGATTGGGAACAGCCTGAGCCAAGTCACCAAGTCAGAGAAACATCTCGATTGCCTAGTGTTTTCTGGTGGAAAATCTTTGAGCCAAAGTGGAGAGGTCTGGATGCTAGACTCTTTGCCATTGTCTGGGTACCCCATGCCTCAGTTTCCCTATTTGTAAAACTTTCCTAAATACTTCAGAAAGCTATGATTAGAATGAAGTGAAAATGCATGGGAAAAGTAACTTGCTACACAAATTTGAGTGTGTCGATGCTTTTCTGAGCCGTGAGTCTTGCTTGCAGGGATGTAGGGTGACTCATGGGAGCTCACAAGGACATTGGAGGTGTCTGTTTCTGACAGTGTAACTAGTGATGTGAAAGTCTGTGCTCCTTCAGGACATGCTTAACCCTGTCTTTTTACTATTCCATGTGCTTTAGGCTGGGGGAAGTTTGCTCGGCTGACCAGGGCACTGACAAGCAGCAGGGGTGTCCTGCAGCAGCTGGCTCCCAGCGTGCAAAAAGGTGAGAACGTCCACAAGCACTCCCGCCTGGCAGAGGTAAGAAGTTATCTCATATCAAATCTTACTTCCAGGGAGTTCATAGGCTGAGAAAGTGGCACAAAGCCAGTGTGCTGGCTTGGAGGGGACCCTCAGGACCCCCAGACTTTTGTTTTGTCTGAGCTGCATACCATGATGTGCAACTGTAGGCAAGTGCTCTCTTTTGAGCGTTGAACTTTCCCCTATGAAAGTGGGCTGGGAACAGCTCTGTTCCAATTTGCTTGAGATTATAGATGTCAAATCACTTTTTTGAGTTGGTAGGGAAGGAACTGGAAGTGCTATATATGTGAATGAGTTTTTACTTATAAACTGCAAACAATTTTGTTATTTGAGCAATACATACTATTATGGGAAAAGAAGATAGAGAAAGTGAAAAGAAGAAACTAAAAATCATCTATAATTCCACTGACCACTGGGAAAAGAAGATAGAGAAAGTGAAAAGAAGAAACTAAAAATCATCTATAATTCCACTGACTTATTAATGTAATTAGCATAATTACATTAATAGTGTGCATTTAATTTTTCTTTGCATAAATCCTATTTCCTAAAGACTAAGAAATTCATTTTTTCATATGTTAGTGTTTATGAAGTTGAGATGCAAAAAGAATCAATGTGTACATTGAACTTGGTCGTGTTGCCTTTTCTTCACTTTATATAATCAAAAATGTCTTTCAAGTTCAAAAGTATAGTTAAAATTATTGTTTTGATAACCTTTGTAGTAAGGAAAGTTTGTGGTAATGGTATCCTCCCTTTTGTTGGGAAGCCTCAACAAGGCATTTTATCAGGCTTAATGCACCCAAATCACAATTATCTGATTTTGGTGGTGCCTGGCCTTCATTTTTTAATGAGATCTGGCTGGGACCAGTTAGGGGTATTACACCCTCCACACAGCAAACCTCCATCTTACCCAATGATGACAACATAAGCTGTCTCTCTGCCTGGAGGTGGCCAGTCAGTCCTTGATCCATGCTCAGATGGTGGGGCCCTTTCTGACCTGACTTCTGGTTCCTATACCCCTAAGGGAGAACCTTCCAGAATGATGCAGCTCAGTGAGTGCTCTGCATATGTGTACTGAATATTGAATGAGTTAACTACAGAAGATCTCCTTGTAGGAGCTAGAAACTTTTGCCAACAGTGGGAATGGGGAAGTGTTCATGTGTATTATGTTAGAGAAGGACAGACATTTGGATGATAGCAGCATCATTTTTTGTCATGATATGGTCTTGGCTTATGATAGAAAGAATACTAAAAGAGGCCTTTCAACTCATAGCCTGCACTTTTCCTACTTCTTCTTATGGTTAGTAAAGTAACCTCCTCTCCTACTTCTCTAGCCTTTGCTCACTTTTATCTGGCCACACTGGCCTTCTTGCTGTTCCTGTACACACCAGGCTTGCTCTTCCCACAGATACCTGCATGGCAACTCCTCCACTGCAAGTCTTTGTCCAAATGTTTTTTCTATGTAGCTACCTGTATCAGTCAGGGATCTACCAGAGAAACAGAGCAAGTAGGATACTTATGTAAGAGATTTATTGCAAGGTATGGGCTTTTCTGTTTGCAGGCGCTGGCTAGGCAAGTCCAAAATTCGTAGGGCAGGTTGGCAGACTGGAAACTCTTCGGCGGAGCTGACACTGAAGTCCATAGGTGGAAATCCTTTTTCCTCAGTTTGCTTTTAAGGCCTTTCGACTAATTGGATGAGGTCCTCCCAGATTACAGAGGATAATCTCCTGAAAGTCAATTGTAGATGTTAATCACATCTTTGCAGAAGGAATCTACAAAGTTCATTGCTTGAATAATTGGGTACTGGGCCTAGCCAAGTTGTGACAAAACTAACCATTACAGTTTACCCTTTCAACTTGGCACCCATACACATTTCCTTAAGCTATATTTAATCTCCAAATAAAGGCAATAACAAAGTCATATTTCCACCTTACGTGATATAAAAATCCTATGTACAAAGGAAAACATACCAACCCTTTCCCTAGAAGAGTATGCAAAGTTCATGTTTATGTTCATTTTTCTCCTTCATATCCTGTAACTTAAATACGTGATATAGTTTATGAGTATTAATACATCTTATGTTATATGATAAGGGGATAGGGAAGGGAAGAAAATAAAAGCATTTAATATATATATCTAGTTTTTTCATAACAAAATAAGGAAGAAATACTCAAAATTCCTAATCCTCTTTATAACTTGCATTATGTTTTTTTCCACTTAATACCATATAGTTTGTGTATTTATTGTGTTTGTTGTTCACTGATAAATCCCAAGCACTTAGAATAGTGGCACATTGTAAGTGCTTAGTAGTAAATAGTTTTTAATTGATTGAATGAAAAAAAGGAAATGATATTAATGTTTTTATTCACCTGTCTGGCATAAGTAGTTGCTCATTGATTGGCAATATAAGGCAAACATCTGGGTCACATCCCTGAGGCTAGTAAATTTTAGTTTGCTAGAGGCTTATTGATTTTATTGATCATTTCAAAGAACCAGCTTTTGGTTTTGTTGGTTATGAATTTCCTGTATTCGATTTCATTGCCTTCTGCTCTAATTATTGTTTATTTTTGTCTGCTTACACTGGATTTAATTTGCTCTTCTTTTTCTAGTTTCCTAAGGTGGAAGTTTAGATTATTGATTTTTTATTTTTCATCCTTTCTAATAGATGCAGTCAATGCTAGAAATTTCCCTATAAGCACTACTTTTGCTACATCCCACAGACTTTCATAAGCTATATTTTCTTTTTCATTTAGTTAAAAATATTTTTTAATTTCTCTTGATTTTTCTTCTTCGACCCATGTATTATTTAGAAGTGTGTTGTTTAATCTCTAAGTATTTTGAGATTTTTCAACAGTTTTCTTATTGACTTCTAATTTAATTCCGTTGTGTCTGAGACCAGACATTGTATGATTTCTCTTCTTTTGTTAAAGTGTGTTTTATGGCCCAGAATATGGTGTTTCTCAGTGAATGTTTCATGTGAGCCTGAGAAGAATGTGTATTCTGCTATTGTCGGATGAAGCAATCTATACATGTCAATTATTTCCATTGATTGATGGTGCTGGTTGAGTTCAACTATGTTCTAGTAAGAAGTGGACAGGCAAGATTTTCTGCCTGCTGCATTTGTCCATTTCTGATATAGGGGTGTGGAAGTCTCCTACTATAATAATGGATTCATCTATTTCTCCATGCATTTCTATCAGTTTTTGCCTCGTGTGTTTTGATGCTCTGTTGTTAAGCACATGCACATTAAGGATTGTTATGTCTTCTAGGAGAACTGGTCTTTTTATCATTATAATGCCCCTCTTTTTCCCTGATAATTGTTTTTGCTCAGAGTCTGGTCTGTCAGAAATTAATAAAGTTACACTTGCCTTAGTATTTTTTTAAGTTTATTTATTAATATTGTTATTTTTTTTTACATTCTAAGATGTTGTGGAGCAGTTGGGGGAACAGGGAGAGGAAAAGGGGAAAGGAAATAGGGTGGGAGGAGGAAGGAGGGGGTGTGTGATTGAGACTGTGGCCTCCCCCTCATTCCTTCAGGGGAGACCAGGGGTCTTCTAGTGGTGGCTCAGTCATTACTGGGCTGGATGCAGATGTCAGGGGTGTGTGGCTGAAGCTCTTGACCCCCAACCAGCCCAGCTCAGGAGACCAGGGGGCTTCTAGTGGTGGCTCAGTGTTTGTTGCTGGGCTGGTTGCAGATGTTGGGGGGTGTGGCTGAAGCCCTTGGCCCCCCACTCTCCTGGCTCAGGGAGTCTGGGGTGCTTCCTGTGGTGGCCTGCTGGTCATTGTTTGGCTGGGTGTGGCCCGCGGGGGAGGGTGGCTCAGGCCCATGGCCCTCTCCACTCCATGGCTTGGGAGCCTAGGTGGCTTCTGGTTCTTCTAGGTTTTATAGGTGTTCTTTGGTGATGTGAGACCTTTGCGAGTTAATATCAGACTTTGTCTCTGATCTGTATGTATTTTGTTTTTTCTTTCAGTTCTGCGTTGGATTATTCCCTAGTCCCACCACTTAAACTCTGCATTGGAACTAATTTTTTGTCCTTTGCTTACTTCTAAAATGTGGGAACTTCTTGTGGGGACTAGCACTCGAGCCCTGTGGTTCAGCTAAATTAATTGCTTCATTGTTGCTGATTCTCTGGAGAAGGCTTTTTGTGCAGCTCAGGTTTTAATTGTTGACCCTGTATATACTTCCAGGACTTGTGTGGTCCAGTATACCTGGGTTGTGTGGAAACTCTTGTCTGGGCCTGAGATTTTTCAGCAAACTGCACCCCCTGCAGATCTGTACTCCTTACCTGTCTCCAGTGACTGGTCCTGTGCTGACTGGGGGACAGATCAGCTGTCCGTGCTGTACTCCAGTGTTCCCCTGGTAGGCCCATCTACCCCACCACCCGCACTCCAAACACTTCCCAGGTGATGGGCCATGTGCTGGTCCTTTGCGATGGCTTACTGGCCTCTGAGTGGCTCCTTTTTTTCAGTTGTTTGTGGCTCCTTGCTTCTATGTGGGTCCTTAGGAACCCTGTTAGTAGTCTTGCTGGCCTGGGGGCTACCAAGGCCCTCTTCTCCCCTGCTGCTCCAAGATACTTCATAGGAAGGGCATAGCTGTGGCTTTTGCCAGCTCTTGCTCTGTGTGCTCACCATCAAGCCTTGAAGTGGCCAGGGTTGAAATGGTGGGAGCGATCCTTTCTTTCTCTTTTTGTGGCTTCTCCTGCCTTCATGAACTCCACAGGTCTCTCCTCCTCTCCCCCTGAGCTCTAGTGGCCCCAGCTTGGCTGTCATTGCTTTTTTTTTTTTTTTCCTTTTTGTTTTTTTTCGGGACCGGCAACGGAATCGCACCCCTCGGTGTTGCTCCCGCCCCTCGCTCAGCCAGTGAGCGGCCAGTCTGTATGTGGGATCCGAGCCCTCGGCGGGAGCGCCGCTGCGCTCCCAAGCGGTGCACTGTAGCAGTGCGCCACCGGGCCGGCCCTGTCATTGCTTTTTTTTTTTTTTTCCTTTTTGTTTTTTTTCGGGAC